GGTTCATGGGTACTGGACCCAAGAGCTTCAGTAATGGTGGAACTGGAGGTACAGGGAATTCAARTGGAGGCTTTGGGGGAGGGAGTTTTGCTTTTTCTAAAGCCCCAGGGGGTGGGGGTGGGTATTCAGGTGGTGGAGTCATCGTTAATCAAAATCCCGGAGGATGCGCTGGTGGCGGAGGCTCATTCAATAACGGTTCTGAACAAGACAACGAGAGTGGCGTCAACAGAGGCAATGGCCGTGTTACCCTCACCTTATCTGAATGATCGTAATATGGTTGAAAACAATAAATCATAAATCATAATACATAAAGTGTATCAATAATTCATGTAGCTGATTGTGTAGTTTATGCGGCACTTTAAACGTGCGCGTTTGGGCACGCTTTAGGCCTCTTGCATCAGACAGACAGACAGACAGACAGACAGACAGACAGACAGACAGACAGACAGACAGACAGACAACTTTTATTCCGAACATTGCACTAATAATTGTACATGAGCTCAGTTCCAAATAAATATATATATTAACACCCATTCGCTCACCTGTCGTATTTGATTACGTATAGTGAAAAGAAAGAAAAGTAAACGAAGAAAAGAGAGAAAAAAGAAATGAAAAGAGAAAGAAAATAAAAGAAAAGTACTATCAGTCATCGTGGAGGCCAGGTTACGTAGCAATCAAATAAAAACAAAATTTCGCGCGCTGTAATGGATCGTTCCATTCAGCAACCCTTCGACATGATGATCATGGATCGAGTACTATGAGCGAATATAGTTCGTATTTAGACCTCACATGCATCGCAGTCCTTGGAAGTTAATTCGTAGTCTAGTTATGGGGAAGAAGAGTGGAAAAGGAGGATTTTATGCAGTAAAGATTGGACGATCTACTGGTGTGTTTAACACATGGTAAGRGAAATATCAATGAATTAATTGTGGAGTAGCTGAATCTAAAACTCGCTTATAAAATTTCCAGTGTACAATTCTTCGTATTGAGGATGCCTTTTCTTGGATATTTACCTTTATTGAAGAGCTGTGGAGAGCTTAGAAGGATTTTGAAGAGCAGTGCTATTAAACGTTTTTAAAACTCATGATGGCGAACCCCTTGAAGACCCCATGAAGTCGTTTCGGAGTTAAGCTTATTTTATTTCAATCGATTAAAACGCTGCACACGTAAAGCCATTCCTGGCATACCGTAGATGTTCTTTGTTTTACCGAATCTATAAAACATTTTGAACCATTTTTTGTTAAAAACAAAAACACTCTGCAAATCGATTTTGTAAGGGCGTTTTAAAATACTTAGTATTGAATGCAACGGCCGGGAAGGGGAGGGGGGAGGGTGGATGAAAAGTTGGTAAGTTTTTAGATTTCTTTTGCGTTTCTACCCTCTTTCCAATCTCCCACTGCCTCCTCACACACGTATATGCTTCGTATTTGGAATCCTGACGATTTAAAAATCCAATCGAATTGTGAATAAATTTCCCTGAAAAATCTCAAGAACACAGTACCTACTCCCTTAATTCAGTGCGCTGCTCAGTGGCAGTTTTAAAGCCCCTATATACTCTGAACACCTATTGATATTCTAGGGAGGAATGCCRACAGGCTGTCGATGGAGTATCTGGTGCACGGTTTAAGAAATTTTCTTCAAATGAAGAAGCGTTGGCCTTCGTTGGAAGTTCTGATCATGGAGGATCATCATCATCATCTTCGTCAAGCTTGCGTCAAGCTACAGTAAATAATATTAATCTCATTTGATATAGGTTATTTGATGGCTGTTAGTTTATCAATGAAAGCTGTCATATGTCACCCTCTTGAAATACTTTATTATTAAATTTATTACTATTATTGTTCTTATTAATTTATTAGAGTGCACATGGTTAACCTGTGAAAAAGTACTGTAAAACTATTTTTAAAATGTAACATTTATTGATATCCTGAAACAACCCTTCTGCTGATTAAAGTCAGGCYGTGTCAAATATTTGGAATTTAGGATGTTACTAGTATAGTGCTATTTAGTCCCAATTAGTTAGCGCTTTTTCATGGGTATTTCGTGTGAACTCTCTCTTTTGCGATCCAGTCAGGAGTGAGGGTGTTTGTTGGTCAGTCAGGGATCATGCATGTTCTTCCATTATTGATCTCTCAACCTCTAGGAATCATTTCTTTGTTTGCGGGCACCACTTGAAAATTTAGCCCATATGGATGACCATCTCAACAAGCAAACTTATACCAAAAGGGAAAGACCCATGATCTGAAATGGGAAATTGTACAACACATTGTAATCTAGAGTACTATTCATTAYATTTGCAGCCTTATCATTCCTATTCAAGACCATCTACATCCTACAACAGTTATAACCATGTGCGCAAAGCTCCAGACACCTTCAAGCACACCATGCCAAGGAAGACCCAATACCTCAAGACCCTCCCACTGTCAGTGAATTTAAGTACTGTTAGTGAATCGCAGAGTACAGAACATCAGCGACCTGTGGTGTATAGTGATGGGTGTTGTACTAATAATGGTCAAAGCCGTGCGCAAGCTGGCATTGGTGTCTACTGGGGACCTAACCATAAAAGGTAAAATATAATATTGAAGAAATGTGGCTCTTATTTACTTGGTGTTGCAAGGCACCAAAGTAGCTCTTTCTATCTACGTGTAGTTCCCATCAGGTTGTTAGGCACTCAATGTATTCTCTATTATTATTCTCTATGAAATGGTATATTTACATACCTGACATCTTTTTTATTATACCGTGGGACACCAGGACACCCGAACACCTCTATATACTTAGCTTATATCTTAGTCTGTTGTACCAGGTGGGACACTGGATCACCTCAGCTACAGTCCCAGGCAGACCCAGGTCAGCTTGTATCATATTGATCCATAATGTGGGGACCCATGACCCATGTTGATTCTTAAAATGTATTCTACCCTTTTAGTAACATCAGTGAGAGACTAAGTGGCAATCAAACAAACCAAAGAGCAGAAATAATGGTAGGTAAACAGCGGTCTTTAGATAATCCTTCCTTCAAACTTCATAGATAACCTGACTGATCAAACCAGGGCATGGATAACTCACAGATTGAACCCTGAAACAACCTCTGGGCTGATCTAAGTCAGGGCATTGCTAATACAGATCGAACCCTGAAACAACCTTTGGGCTGGTCAAAGTTAGAGCATGGGTTTACAACTCACAGAACAATCTCTGAAACCTCTGAGCTGAACTGAGTCAGGGCATGGCTAACTCACAGATTAAACCCTGAAACAACCTGTCGACTGGTCAAAGTTAATGCATGGATAACTCACAGGTCAAATTGAAGTTTAGCTTCTTGGGTTTTGCTAAAAAAATGTACAGTGTCAGTCATTATTGGTCTTTAAAAATATGGCATACGCGACATCCACTCTGGCAAAAAAACATGCTCAATGAGGGCCTTAATTTGTATTTTAGAGCTTGGTAATGGTAAATGTTCACTTTATTAAATAAACATTTCATTTGATTACAGGCTGCAGTGAGAGCATTACAATCAGCAAAGGACTTAGGACACAGATCTGTGGAGGTCAGAACAGATAGCCAATACACTATTAATGGTACGTCATTCTTCTTTTCTGGCCTGAGAAATCATGTAGACAAGTCAGCTTTTGGAAAATGTTTGTGGTTGAAATGACTACCATTTTATCAAATTTCAGGTGTTACAAGTTGGATAAACAAATGGAAGTCCAATGGCTGGAAGACTTACACTAACTCAGATGTTAAAAATGTTGAAGACTTTAAGCTGTTGGACAAGCTGTGTGAAGACATGGATGTAAAATGGGTAAGTGGGAATTTGAGTTTCGGATTTAGATTTATGTTGAGTTTTCTTGGCCATTCAAAAGCCTAAATGATAAGGCCCCTGATGATGGCAGCCATGACAGAAGGCAAAACAATTGAATCTGGTCTAATCTGGTTTACATGTCATTGAGAAAGAATTCAGTTTGGCAGGGGAGAACGACTCTATTGTTGTGCCTCCTGTCATGGCTGCCATCTCGTGATGGTGCAAAGTCTTTATAGACAAATGCAAGAGGTGGTGTACATGTTAGGAGCATATATCCACCACCCATGTTTGATTCATATCAACATACCATTAGTAGTAATATCAATTGTTCTTCTAGACACATGTTCCTGGTCATTCTGGGGTCCATGGGAATGAAATGGCTGACTCGTTGGCCAAGAGTGGATCCCGTCTGCCTCATCAAAAGACATAGTGAATTTGATAATTATTGTTATATATATATATTATAAGTTACTTTGGCTCTTTGATAAGAGTGGCTTTGGGGGTATTTCAGGCTGGTTTGCCCCTCTTTTTGTATTAAATTGATTTGTACACGTATAAATGTTTAGGTGTATAGATACATAGTAATAGCATGGTTTGCAAACACTAGACATCTGGGCCCAGTTGTACGAAGCCTGGATAGCGCTATTCGGCAGATAAATCCTTATCCACTAGTAAGTCGATGCTGTATTTCAATAGATTTATACCTCAGATAGCACTATCCAGGCTTCGTACAAATGGGCCCTGGCTCTTGGAACTCATGTTTGTTGTTTAAATTTAAAATTTCTCAATTTCAAAGGTAGTCTCATATGAAATCGACAAACATTAATGTCCTTACAGTGTACTGTAGCTGACAAACATACAAGATTCATAAGTAAGTTAGAATAACGTTTGATACCTTGTGCTCTCGCCTAGATGCAAACGACTGTAGTGCCAATAATTATTTGTTTCTTCTCTGTTTATGAGTATAGTATTATTATTTAAATACATTAGAGTGATTTCCATAAACCCATGAAATTGATATCATTCGTTATAATTGTGTAATAGTGAAATGACAACAACAACAACAACAAAACCAATGGAATTAGGGTCTACTAATTTGTATTAGGCTGGTGACGATTTCAGGGGTTTATGAAAACCACTCTATAGATGACATTCAAAGGATTGACTTAAGGAAAGGTCTGATAAACTTATATAATATAAATATTACAATAGTTTACGAAATAAAAAGGAAATTTATTGCATTATGCCTGTAGTCTAATATTATTTAAATACAAATATAAGTAGCGATCTTACTTGGTCCATCAAAAACAACAAGTATAATACATCAAATAGTAGATACTAAAATGTCTTTGTTTTTGTTTTAGGCTGCGTTCATAATGTAAGGGGTAGGTGAAAATTTGAAATGTCCAGAATATTTCTTAACACCCCCTTAAAGTCATGCAAAAAAATTACGATCCCCAGGAAGCAAGGCTTGTAGCTTTTTCCAA